GCCTTTATTGACCACGTGTCCAAACCGGCTGCCCACTCCTTTGTCTCCACAGCATCTAGTATTTGAAATGATATCACTTGCTTGCTCCTTGTTTGCTGCCYCTTCCTGGTCTACCTGCATTGGAACCAGGGACTGTACATCCCTCGCCCACAGTTATGTTCCAGCACTAAGAACGGGGCCTAGGACGTTGCAGATGTGCCCAGTAAATGTCGAGCTCAGGGATGGATCTGACCACAGCTGGCAGAACTGAGTTCAGTGATGCCTTCCATTGGCCACAGTCCCCACCACACCCTCCTCTCCCTCACTCTAAGGACGTTGGGAATCTGTCATCATCTCCCTTGTTCTGTTGTTTTTCTTAAATTTTTATTTCCACCCACATCACTATCAAAAGGTAAGCCATGCAGACGGACCCCATCTATTCAGCTCAAATCTGATCAATCCCTGTGGATCGATAATATTCTAACTCCTTTTTATGCTGATGAAAAACACATTCAAAGGAGTCCGGCCAGACCTCTCCGGTGCTTCAGACCTGACTCCCATCTGACTCCTCCATGACCCCCCCCATAAGTCCCATAGGTGCCCCAATTCAACTCTTTAAAGCCCAGTGCCCTCTGAAAAACTGTTCTTTCTCCTGGATCCCCATCTTAAGTTCATGTCTCCCACCCCGCCAAGTCTCAAGCTCAAAGCCTGGGGCACCCAGTGGTAACCAGTACTGACTGAATCCCCATCAAGAACCTGAGGTCAAGTCAGGGACCCAGAGGTGTAAATGAATMCATGCAGAGTGACCTGCCTGGTCAGAGGAAGAGCAAGAGGTCAGGAAATCCAACTGGGGGTGGGGGGTGGGGAGAATGCCMATTAGAGGGTGAAGGATTTAAACTGAGACCTGAAGGTTTAATAAGAAATAACAAGGAAAGGAGGGAGCAAAAGAGTCCCCCAACCGAAGTGTATAGAGGTTGAGCTGGCTCAGGACGTGACGCCGTGGGTGAACCCAAAGAGGCCACCTTGTGTGTGTCTGTGTGGTGTGAATGTGTATGTGAATGTGTGTGTGTGTGGTGTGAGTGTGTGTGGTGTGTGTGTGGTGTGAGTATGTGTGTAGTGTGAGTGTGTGTGTGTGGTGCGTGTCTGTGTGGTGTGAGTGTGCGTGTGTATGTGTGTTTTGAGGGGTGGGAGTAGGTAATGAAAGATAAATCCTAGCAGGTAAGAGGGTACTAGGGGATTAGAACCACACTTTAAAGATAGGCTTGACCCTAAAGACAACAGGGAAGCATTAAAGTTTTCTTTTTTCCCTTGTTTTTAAAAATGGTACAGTCATTCACCACATAACGGCATTCTGGTCAACAATAGACCACATACACAGCAGTGGTCCCATAGATTATGATGAAGCTGGAAAATTCCTTTTGCCTAGTGACATTGTGTCCGACATCACATCTTAGCACACATTTGTGGTGATGTTGGTGTAAATAAACCTGCGCTGACAGTTGAATAAAATTATAGCACATATAATCATGTACAGTGCATATTTGATTATGATAATAAACAACTATGGTATTGGTTTATGTATTTACTGTACTATATTTTTTACCATTAGAGTATGCTCCTTCTGCTTATAAAAAACAGAAGTTGGGGGCTGGGGATGTGGCTCAAGCGGTAGCGCGCTCGTCTGGCATGCGTGCGGCCCGGATTCGATCCCCAGCACCACATACCAACAAAGATGTTGTGTCCGCAGAGAACTAAGAAATAAATATTAAAAAAAAAAAAAAGTTGGCTGTGAAACAGTAGGCCATGCTTCACCAGCAGTGGCTTCATACACCTAGAGTGTACTGTGTCTCTTAATTGCATCAAGGGGCCGCATGGAGTATACTCTGTAATATTCACACAATGACCAAATCATCAACAATGCATTTCTCAGAACACATCCCTGTTGTTTAGCAATGTGTGCCTGTACTGTGAGCACATGTGATCCAGATTCAATCTCAAAGGGGYGTACAACACAACAAAGGTCATCTCCTACACTCAGATTCACCGTCTTTTTTTTTTCTTGCCAATAGTAAAAGGAATAGGATTTGTTTGTACCTGAAGAACAAAAAYAGAACTCTTGGAGAGGCAAGAGGGGACCCCAGCAGGGGGTTGCATCCTGTTCTCATTTCCAAGAGGCCATCACCACTAAAAAGCTTTATGRAATTCCTTCCAGAATCGTGTCTGCCCTTTTCCTTGGCTAAACACCTGAGAGTCTAGAAACTATGCTGTCCCCTAGGTCTTTATTCTTTTACATTATCGTGACATCTTTCCTCAACACCCCACGTGTATTCTGGTAGCTGCATGGTRTTCCCTGAGTTTGTCCCACATGTCATAGAACTGCTTCCTGGTTTTCCTCCACCGCCAGCCATATTCTCAGGCCCCCAGTACACGTTAGTCTATCTATGGTCCCCCTATCTTCAGGACCATCCCTACAGGTGGGTTGATGGTTCAAATGCTATGTACATTGTAAACTTTGACAGAAGTTGACAAATGTCCTTCAAAAAAGATGATAACCAACTTCACTTCYCAACAAGAACCAGAAGAAGCAGGAYGTGGTGGCACACACCTGTCATCTCAGTGGCCTGGGAGGCTGARGCAGGAGGATCTGAGTTCAAAGCCAGCCTCAGCAATTTATCAAGACCCTGTCTCAAAATAAAATATAAAAAGGGCTGGGGATGTGGATCAGTGGTTAAACACCCCTGAGTTCAATTCCCCGTACCAAAAAAAAAAAAAAAAAAGGAAGCATTTTGAGCCAGAAATAGCASGGTTAGATCTAAATCTCAGCAAAATCATTCAGTCATTCATGTAACTTTTATTAGGAGCTTGCCACTCATTGCTCTTGACTCTGGGATCTATCATTGAGCACAGCAAAGTCCCCACCCTCCTGGGGCTGGCATTCTAATAAGAGGAACATACCATAAACAATAAATAATATATGACTCGTACCATGGAGAAAAACTCAGTGGCACTAGGTAGATGGAGAACGMCAGCCAGGGTTGGGGAGGAGGCTGTGTTATACAGTATGGGCCAGGAAAGGCCTYAGGGAGTGGACCATTAGACAAAGGACCTTCAGTGCAAGGGCCCTGAGGCTGGGGAGGAGGGTGTTCAGAGTGTTCAGGGGGCAGTGAGGGAGCCAGTGGGCTTGAAACAGCACTACGAAAAAGGGAGAATGGTAGGAGAAATGGCCAAAAGAGTTAATGGAGCCAGAAAATGTCGGRTCTTAAGAGCTATGGAGAGTTTACTTCTATTTGGCACGAGTAGATACTGCTTGGTTCTGAACAGAAGGACATGATCTGCCTTGGGTTTTACTGACTTCTCTGGCAACTGTGTTGAGAATAAACTGGATGGGAGAAGGAGGAAAGCCAGGGTCGTCCAGATGAGAGATGGTGAGGGTTTAGCCCAGGGCAGTGTTGGGATTCTGTATGTATCTTGAAAGTAGATCAAACTGGATGAACAGGACATGGGGGCCAGGTGCCATGTCGMATGCCCGTAATCCCGGCCACTTGGGTGGCTGAGGCAGGAGGATCRCTAATTCAAAACCAGTCTCAGCAACTTAGCAAGACCCTAAATAAGCAACTTAGTAAGACCCTGTCTCAAAATAAAGGATAAAAAGGGTTGGGGATGTGGCTCAGTGGTTGAGTACCCCTGAGTTCAATCCCCAGTACCAAAAATAAATAAATAAAATAAGACATGGGGTATGAACGTCAAGGATTCTGGCCTGAGCACTAGGGAGGTAGTTTTAGAGCAGGTTTTGGGGGGAATCATGAACCCTGCTCACTCGAGCTGCTAGTGTATAATGGGACAAAGTCGGTCATAGCTCCAGTTGCCTGCCAGACCCTCTTCTTGAATGTCCCCCAACTATCAAAAACAGCCCGTCCAGACGGAGTTCCCTCTTTCCCTAGATCTCCTACCCAGCGCCATTGCCCAGCACCATGCTAACAAATGTCCTGTGGGCCACCCTGGCCACCACCCGCTATAGGGCTGGGGAGGTGGCTCAGTGGTAAACAGCTCTGGGTTCAATCCCTAGTACCAAGAAAAAAACAAACAACAAAAAACGATTGCAGCTGCTCAGGGTCTGTTGCTGAGAAGGGACGGCACAAATGAACTAAGGGTTACTCAAGTGAAAGGCRGAATGAGTGGTGGATGGACCTCCTCACAGATTCTGTCCAGTCCCTCTCCTCCTTCAGTGCAGCCTCCCCGCCATTCCAGAGGAATCTTTGAAAACATACACATCTGACTGTGTCCCTTCCTTGACTATAAACCATTCACAGCTCCGCAGGGCCTACATAGACATAAACCGGTGGCCTACAGACATGTTTTCTTTGGCCCACATAGTGTTTTGGGTTTTTATTTAAATCCTGAATTAATTAGCATATTTTACATAAAAGTCTGGTTTTTCCCACTTCTCTTAAGACACTGGAAGAACTAGTGCTACGGTTTCATTTCTCCAGGACAGCACTTGGTTCAGGGAGTAGTGGCTTTCCCTTCAGACAGGGCATGATCTCTTGGCCACAGYCCCCACCACTCCCTCTTGTTTTATACCCAACTTGCTTCCCTCACTCAAATGACCTCTATGGCCTCAGAGTTTGTAGCTGTGGCCTACAGAACACATGTATAGCCTCTGGGTTGCATGAGGTGGGCATGACCATGGTGGGAAGACATTAGGAGAAACTGAAAGGTCAGGCTGTGGCCAAGTTGTGAAGGGCCTTGAATGCCATTTTAAGAAGTCCTATCCAGAGGACCACTGGGTGTGATGAAGCAGGAGAGTGACATGGTTGGGCCTATGCTTTTAGCCCAGGCCCTGTGAAGAGGAGAGGGCCAGACAGGGACAAAGAACCCTGTGAAGAGCTRGGCTGCTAGGAAGAAGGTGAGCAGGAGGGGCTTGGATGGATGCTGTCCCCCTGTCCCCTAAGTCTGAGTCTGCTCTCTCTCTGTTTCAGAACCAGACAGCAGCCTGCATTCAAGCATGGCTATGAGGGCAGATGGGCAGTGCTGAAGACCCAGCCTGGTTCCAGCTGCTTCCGACAGACTCCAGCCCCCACAGTCCCTTCTGCTGCCCACAGGATGGGAGCCTGGGTGCTGGGGGCCCGGCCATGAGGGACTGCTGCCYCTCCCAGCAAAAGGCCAGTCCTGCATGCCTCAGGCACACCCCTGACCACACCCCAGGCATGGACTCCAGACACAGCAGCCCCAGTGGAGCTGGGGAAGGGGCCTCCTGCTCTGAGGACCCYACTGGGAACTTAGCCTGCCCCTCTGCCACCTGCCTCCCTTCCCAAGAGGAAGCCACCAAGGAGACATTGGGGATACATGGAGCCTTGATCTCAGGGACACCAGAAACCACTTTGTCTAGGAAGCCAGAGATTGTGCCCTCACTGAAAACTGATCCCACGTCCTCAGAGAACAGAAATCCTGTGTTCCTGGAGAAGAGAGATTTAGATTTCAATTCTTCAAAGCAGGCAGATTTGGGATCCATAGGAAAGAAAGATGCTGGTTCCACAAGAAAGGCAGAGCCTGTGTTGACAGGAAAGGCAGAATCTGCAGCCTCTGTAAAGGGGGATCCTGTGCCTCCTGGAAGGATGGATTACACGACTCCAAGAAAGGAGGATCTTGAATCCTTGGGAAAAGTAGATCCTGTGTGCTCCAGCAAGGTTGACACAGTGTCCCCAAAGGAGGATCCTGGGTCTTTGAGAAAGGTGGATCCTGTTTCCTCAGGCAAAGTGGATCCCATGTTCCCCAAAAAGGAGGAGCCTGAGTGTCATAGAAAAGAGCACCTTGTGTCCTCAGAAAAGGTGGGCTCTGCATCCACAGAAAAGATAGATCCTGGGCCCTCAGGCAAGGTGAATCCTGTATCCTTGAGAAGCACGGATCCCACACCCACAGAAAAACCAGATCCTGGGCTCTTGGGAAAGCTGACTCCAGGGGTATCAGGCAAGACTGAGCCTGTATTCTCTGGAATAGGGACTCCTGGGTCCTTGGGAAGGGTGGATCCTACATGCTCAGGGATGGCAGATCCTGCATCTGTGGAAAATGCAGAAATGGTGTCCTTGGCAAAAGAGGACCCTCAGTTCCTGGCAAAGACAGACCCTGCCTCCTCAGGGGAGGGGCATCCTGTGTCTGTGAGAATGACAAAAACAGTGTCTGCTGGCCCAGTGGATCCCATGTTTTCCGGAAAAATAGATCCCACATCTGTGAAAAGTACTGTTCCTGTGTCTCTAGGCAAGATGGATCCAGTTTCCTTGGAAAAGGTGGATCCCATGTCCTCAGGAAAGCCAGAGCCCTTGTCTTCTGGGCAGGCAGAACATGTGTCTATGGGAAAGACAGTAACTGTATCTTTAGGAAAAGAGGACCTGGTGTCTTCCAGAGGGGTGGATCCCACAACTGAGAGAAACACAAAATTACCATCTTCTGAAAAAGTGAATCCTGAATCTTCAGGCAAGACAGACCCTGCGTCCTCAGGTCCAGGGGACCCCAGGTCCTTGGAAACAGGAGTTTTTCCACCTGCAGTAAAAGCTGAGGCCGTGACTGAGGAAAAAGGAGATTCATGGTCCTTGGAGAAGGCAGGTCCTACAGTCTCAAGGAAAGCTGATCCTCTGGTTTTAGGCAATGTGGACCCTGTGAGCAGGGGAAAGACAGAAACTGCCCCCTCTAGAGAAGTGGACTCCATGTCTTTAGGAAAGTCCCCCATGACTTATAGCAAAACAGGTCTGGTGTCCCCTGGGAAGGCAGATCCCATGGACTGCGGTAAAGCAGAAGCCATCCCAGAGGAAAAGGTGGATCCTCCATCCCTGGAGAAGGGGAATCCTGTAAACTCCACAAAGAAGGAAACCAAGGCCTTGGGGAAAGTTGAGCCCATGTCTGGGGGCAAGGCAGAAGCAAAGCTCCCTGGACAAGAGTGTGCCACATCGTCAGGAAAAGCAGAAGGGTTGTTTTTGCAAAAGGAGCAGCCACAGACCTCTGAGAAAGTAGATCCGGGATCCTCAGGAAAAGCAGATCCCGTTGTGTCTGGGAACGTGGAGCCTGTGTCCCAGGACGACTCTGCATCTCCAAGAAAAGCAGAGTCCCCATCCTCTGGAAAGGGGTTTTCCATTCCGAAGAAGACCGAGTCCTCTTCCAGGCAATCAGATGGCAAACCCTGYAGTTCAGCCCCATCTCCCCGCGGTGGTCCTGGGAGCTTGGAGAGYGGTGTGGAGCCAGAGCCCGCCCCCAACGCTAAGACCTCCAGCCTCTGCCAGAAAGACCTGGTGGCCACTGAGGCCGAAAAAAGCCCCCATGCGGAGGCCGCAGCGCCCCAGCCGGGACCACGGACTCGCGACAACTTCACCAAAGCGCCGTCGTGGGACGCAAGCGCCCCGCCACMGCCGCCGCGCGAGGACGCAGGCACACAGGCAGGGGCGCAGGCCTGCGTCTCGGTGGCCGTGAGTCCCATGTCTCCGCAGGACGGCGCGGGCGGCCCGGCTTTCAGCTTCCAGGCAGCGCCTCGCGCGTCCAGCCCCACGCCCAGGCCTCCCTCGCGCCGAGACGCAGGCCTGCAGGTGTCGATGGGCGCCGCCGAGACGCGCTCCGTGGCCACTGGGCCCATGACGCCTCAGACCGCCGCGCCCCCTGCCGCGCCCCCTGCCTTCCCCGAAGTGCGGGTACGGCCCGGCTCGGCACTGGCGGCCGCCATGGCTCCCCAAGAGGCGGCGGAACCAGTGCGCGACGTGAGCTGGGACGAGAAGGGAATGACGTGGGAGGTGTACGGCGCCGCTATGGAGGTGGAGGTGCTGGGCATGGCCATCCAGAAGCATTTGGAGCGACAAATCGAGGAGCACGGCCGCCAAGGGGCGCCCGCGCCGCCGCCAGCCGCGCGCGCAGGCCCTGGCCGAGCAGGCTCGGTGCGCGCCGCAGCCGCTGATGGCGCCGCCAAACGCCCGCCTGGCCTCTTCCGCGCGCTGCTGCAGAGTGTGCGCCGGCCGCGGTGCTGCTCGCGGGCAGGACCCACGGCCGAGTGAGCTGCCCCTGTTTTGTACGCCCGGGTTTTCAACCTTCTCAGGCTACTTTCTTGACCCCAGACCCCTAGAAGGTGTCCCCTCGGCGTGCGACAGCCCTCTGAGGGGTGGGCAGCCTCTAGGGGCTTCTCATCCCCTTCTTCCCAGCCCCATTCTGTCCCAAACACACAAATGAAACCCCTTTACTTAGTTCCCTCGTGGCCTTGAGACCACAAACCCATCCCTGCCTCCCATCGTGCCCTCAGCTGCGTTCCCTCCCGGTCACACTGGGCTAGCAAGGGGACCTGCCCAGCACCCATACCTCCGGCCCCCTGAGAGCTAAGGCAAGCTCCTGAGATGGCCAGATTWGGTATGTTGAGGTCTCCAGTGGGACCAGATTCCCAGAACTGGGAAAGACTGCATGCAAATCTTTTAAGTGGCCCTCCGTGTGTGCAAGGATCGGTGTGTGAGACCCCCACCCCTAAGCGTGCTGGACTCTGAATGTGAGACCCTGGAGGTTTCTGAACGAGTGGGCATGTGCTGACCCCCAAGGCTGGGGCATCTCTTGCATGCTGTTGGTGGTCCCTCCCCATCTCCAGTCTCCCCCATTCCCCAACCTTTAGCTCCTTTCCCACCAGGTCACTGGTTCACAATTCCCAGAGAGGCCAAAGGCCAGGAAGGGCACTGGGGATTCAGATGAGAGGGAGAGTCGCAGAAAAGTGAGAGGGTCTCAAACTGGACAGAAGGTCACAGTCAGGCTCATGGAAGGTCTTGGGCCACAGCTGCCTAGGTGGTAGCTGTTCTTGGGTATTGGGGACAGGGTGAAGAGTTCATTCTATAACCACAGTTCACCTTTAAAGGCCACCCTCTTCAGTCCCTTGTCCCCCCTGTGCTGTGAGCCCCCACAAGTCCCTTGTGACCACTCAGTGCCCTCGTCCCCACCCCTCCAGCCTCAGTTTTTGGCTACAAACTGTCACAGTATACGTTGGTAATAAAATCTCTCCCCAACCCTTGTCTGCTGTGATTGACTGAAATAAGAGGCAAAGCAACAACATATATTATTATGTCCAGGGTGGGGGAGGTGTTGTTAGGCTGTCAGGGGGAGGGGGGCCTCTTCCCAAGAGGGCCAGGGGAGTAGGGCCTCCATCACAGGTCTGTGGTGTCCAGGCTGGGGTTGGTGAAGGACATTCCCTGTTGCTCTCCACTTGTGTCCACCTGCCTTCCTGACAGCACCACACTTAGGGGCTCTGGATCCTTCTCCGGTGGATTGTTCTGAGGCTCCTTCTGAGGGAAGAGGAAGGGAAGGTGAGATGACAGAGTGATCACAGACCCTMGGGAGGAACATGGCCTTCATGCCCATGACCACATGGCTCCTCAGCTGAGGTTGCCCCCACAAGATGTAGTTAAGATATCTAATGTCATCTAATCTTTGTAAAATACCTTTTTATTGGCATAACCTCTGTGTTTAGTAGAGATCCCTTTATTTCTGAAAGAGCTAAAAAAAAGGGGGGGGATTTCATTTGTTTGGGACAGAATGGGGCTGGAAACCCCCAACTCCTCTTGGGGCCTCAATCTCCTAGGTATGTTTCAGAGTTGGCCGCGACCAGGGGTGGTACATGCAGATGGGCTGGAGCAGGTGGTGGGCCAGGGTGAGTTCTTTTCTGCCCTTTGCCCTACCAACAGAGCAGCATTCTGGGGTTCTRCCCAGTCCTGAAAAATGTCCAGTCCTAAAAAATGTCCAATCCTGAAAAATGCATCCTGTGCCAAGGAGTCAATCCATCTCGGTTCCTGCCACCTGCACCCCACAACAGACACCATGTTAAGCAAAGTTCACCCACTACCCGAAATGCCCACAAAAACCCCTTGAGGGAGGGTTTATATCCCCCATATTATGATGTGGGAACTGAAGCTCAGCAGACCCTCCTGGGCAGGAAGTGACAGAGAAAGCTTTGGATCATTGGTCTTTGTAGATCTAAAGCATGTCCTTGGATGAATCAAGCATCTCCTGCCACCCTCAGGGACATATCACACCCAGGTCCCACCTGTAGTTCATCATGGCACACCCACTCCACTCCTGCCCTTCCTCTTTCCCCTCCCCATGTGACACAGTGCACACTTGCACATCCAGCCAGTCACATGTGCCTCTTCACACATACACCCTACTGTGGGAGGACCAGGTCCCCAGGCTCAATCCTCTGCTGCCATCTCTACCCTACCCAGGACCCTCCAAGGGCTTTTCCCAAATTAGGAACTGCTCCAGTCTCTAGTGAACAGTGGAACACATGTGGGGCCCCAGAGGGGCTAAGCATTCTGCCAGTGTTCCACAGAACCTGAGCAGAGGAGCMGTGCCACCCAGGATAATGTCACCTAGCCCCTTAGATCAGAGACCTGAGTTCTAGTGTGCTCCTACCCTGCAAGCTGTCTGACCTTGAGAGAGTCAGCAGCCCCCTCTGAATGTCAGTTTCCTATTGGTAACCTGGAAAGACAGGATGGACGACCTCTCAGGTCACACACACTGTCTATCTGCACATTTTTGGAGTTCTTGGAAAAGTCATGCATCAGTCACAAGATTGATGGAAAAGACCCCYGCCTGAATCCCCACCCAGCCAAGGAAGTGAAGGAACAATGGCTCCTAAGAAGCCTCTGTGGCCTCCTGGGTCTGCCAGAGACCCCCAAGGCCATCCATTGCTGGGGCAGGGAATGAGGCCTTGGGCAGCTTCTCAGAAACTTAGCAAGCTCCTGCCTTCCCTGTAGCTCTTTTGCTTCGAAGTCTCTGTGAACTTGTCCCCTCCCTGCTCTAGACTCTCCCATAGGCCCAGCCCCGCCTCCTGGTCCCCTGACTCCACTCTCCTCCAGGGGTCAGCCTTGGCCCCCTCTGGGGGAGAGATGGGTGCCTAACACCAATAGGCAAGATCATTCCCTTGTTTCTCGTCCCCTCCGACATGTTCACTGGAGTTTTTGCCTCAAACTGTCTTCAGAGATGAGCTATGCCCAGAGGTTGCCTGGATGGCCAACCAATGCCCCCACCTCAGGGACCTATCTGGTTGCCTCTATGCCAGATTCTCAGCACTGTGAGTGACATGCCTGGGTCCCTGTGCAGCATTCTGGCATTTTAAAGTCCAAAAGACACTTTGGTTAACCAAGTGTTTCCAAGCAAGGAGTCCTCAAGGGAACATGGGGACTGAGGAGTGAGGGCAGGCTGGCGTTCTTACAGACAGCAACCAGGCTGAGCTCAGGATCTCAGGGGCCTGGCCGTGGGCAGATGGTGAGTGGACACTTCTACCCACATCCACAACCTCACACCATTACAACWCAGATAGGAGAATTTCTATTCCGGGGGAAGAGACGGAGTAGTTCTTTTCGTTTCTGGATCCTCCTCCCCAGCCTACTCACCGGCTCCTGGGGTTCACAATCCTGCCTGTACATTAGAATCCCCTGGGGAMGCTTTGACACACACCCATGCCCAGGCTCCACCCTGGGCCACCAAAATCAGGATCTCTCCTTGAGACCTGGCACCCATAATTTTAAAGCTCCCCRCAAACCCAGGCTGTAAACGCCTAACCAACTAATCCACTTAACAAGTGATGACGCTGCCGTGTATTGGGCCTCCCTCTCCTTGGTTAGACCATGTTTATTCATCTCCACATCCTTCCTCACCCCATCAGCTTTCATGTAAAGGCTAGAACAGGATGGAACTAGACTTCCGAGCACTTGTTTTAGGACCAGGTATTGTTTTTTTTGGCTGCTCTTATTTAATCCTCACGACAGTTGATGTTTTGCTCCCCGTTTACAGATGAGGAAAGTGAGAACCAGAGCCAGGAAGTCATCTATCCAGGGTCACATGACGACAGGGATTAGACAGGGATTGGACCTCATTCCAAAGCCATGGGGCTTCCCAAGGCCTGGTGCAGAGGAGTTAGACTGCCAAGGCCAGCAGCAGGTTCCACCCACCCCTTTCCTGAAACCACCCCTTCAAAGAAGACTCCCACRTCAGAAGCCCCAGGGACCAGCTCATCCCAGATCTTGCCTTGATTTTCTGATTGTTCCCGTCCAGGTCCACAGAGTTGTCATCCAGGGAATTGAGGCTAGGGGAAATGGGGATGGAGCTCAGGATGTTGGCAAACCCAGTCCTTCCTATCTGTGGCCTCCACCACCACTATCTCCACTGCCGTCACCACCACCACCATCCCCACCTCTATTACCCCACCACCACTGTTATGGCGATCACCATCATCTCCACCACCAGTCACCGCCACCATCACAACAGTCACCATTACCACCATCACCGGCCCCATCACCATGATCGGCACCATCACCAATAACCATTCTGGCCGTGAGAGGTGCTGCTCACCTGACATAGTCCAAGTCACTGGAGGAAGTGAGGTACTCGAGGCCCAGGTCTTTGGTGGGCAGGTTCAGCATGGGGTTGGCCCTGGAGAGAAGGTCAGGTCAAGTGGCCGTGGCCTTGGCCACCTCACGGGGTCTCTTGCTCACCCCTGTACCCTTGCTCACCGCTCAGTGTTGTACATGTTGGTCCCGGGGATGGCAGAYGCTGAGGGCAGCACCCCTGCTGCTGTCTTCCGGGCCTCCTTGGCAGCCTTCATGGCCCGAAGCTTCCGGTGGTAGCTGGAGGGAACCAGGAGAGGAGTCAGGCTTTKCCACGCACCCACTGAGTGCCCCCGGAGGCCCTGAGATGTGGCCTCTCGATGATCCTGGCTGGAGAGAGCCTTGGCTCCATCTTACAGGGGGCAGAAAGAATAGCTAGAAGCTGAAGGGCACACGGCCTGCCCATGGCAGGGTCTGAATGCGGCCTCGGTTGTGTCTACTAGAAGGGGCAAGGAAGGCCGTGGCACTTATTAACCGCATCGGAGGTGCCGGGCACCTTGTGTGAGACACACTTCACAACCTTGGGTGCATCAAGAACTCTAGCATCATGCTCCTTCTGCAGAGGAGAAGCCTGAGGCTCGGGCAGAAGTGACTCACCCCAGATCTCCCCACAGGTCACTGGKGCTTGAACACATGCATACCTGACGCCCAGACCCAAGCTCTTTCTATTCCCACCCTTGACCATCTTGGGAGGTGGGKCAGGGGGAGGGTTGGGGACGTGGAGGGGCATCGGAGCAGCACCTCTTCCGCATACACACAAGGGCCATGATCATGATCGCCAGGACCAACAGCAGAGCCACTCCCAGTCCTATGATGACACTGATGAGCACTTTGCCCTGGTCTTCCTCCTGGTTCTCCTGGGAGCCCTGGAGAAGAAGAGGGATGACGGAGGCTGTGGGGTCCACCCCCTCCTGCTCCCTGTGCGCCCTCTGCCCTGCCCCACTCACCAGCACCACCAGCCCCAGCCGCAGCAGCTGTGTCAGTGCGTCCTGGTCCTTCCGGATCATCCTGGCCAGAGAGCCCTCTCAGACCCAAGAGCCACGCGCACCCCCCCGGGGCCCCCTGCTCGCCCTCTGCCCACCCCCAAGGACAGCCCCACTCACAGGCTCAGCTCACTCAGTGTGAGGGCGGACCCATTGGAGAAGACAAAGTAGGCATCAAGATAAGACTGGGCTCGAGCCCTGGAATGGGACCGAGGAGAAGAACTGGCAGTCCAGAACCTTCCGCAAGCCTCTCTGGCTATTTCTTTCCTCAGCCCAACCGTGATGGGCCCGCCAGCACTCACCGAGCAGTAGACTCCACGTCCTGAATGTTCACAACGTAGACCGTAGTCCTGGTCGCCTGGGCAAGAGCCCTACAAGGAAGGCAGGTGTCACAAGTGCCTAGGAGAGGGGCCTTAGCCAAGGCCTGTGGCTAGGGCTCTTCCAGCGGACTGAGGAATTGCGTGAATGAGAAGGAGGCACAGTGGCTTGTTGGTGAAGCAGATAGCACCTCTGTGCCAATCAGAAAGGGAAGCCCTTCCTCTAGCGCTTGGCGCGCAGGGTGCTCCCGTGCAGTGCGCAGCCTTCACAGCTGTCTCCACATGCAGCTTATTTAGGCCTCTTTCTGCTTTGGGTTGGGCATGCACTTCTGGGGGCATGCAGAAAGGTGGTGCAGGGACAGGGACAGGATCAAAGACAGGGACAAGTCAAATGTGGGTCAGGACAGAATTGAAAGACATTGCATCCAAGTCTTGCCAGGGACCAGCCTCTTAGGCCCTCTTCTTAGCCGTAGCCCCTCCTGTGCTCCCAAAACCTACGCTTTAATCTCCTCCACGTTGGCGCCCACCTCCTCCTTTGGTGTGGAGAACTGCAGCCTCACACGGTAACTCTGGTCCACAGTGAAGAGCTAGGGGACAAGGGTCGGGGAGGGTGAGGAGGCACTCAGAGGACTGGCAGAAGGCACTGGGCTGAGGTGGGGGCGGGCACTCACATTCAGGGTGACTTGGGCTTCCTGTGCAGGACCCACAGAAGGTTTATCCTGGGCCTGGACCATCACTTGGTAAGTGCCTTGGAGAGTGGAATCAAGGTTGGTCACCAGCCTGTGGAAGGTGGGAGGACACAGCTCAGTCTTGGAACCCAAGCTGGGGCCCTCTGTACACCTCCCAGCATGGGGACTCGCTCACCGGAAGCCTCCCTCGCTCCCCCCACCCCTGTCCCTCCAGGGGCTGCCTGCAGTTACTCAATGCTGCCAGTAAACACAGTGGCCTCCACAGAGGTGACAATCCGGAAGAAGCCCTGGAAAGGGATGGTGGCCCCATCCTTAGAGATGAAATTCACTTGGAGGATGGAGAACTCAATGGCCCCATTGTTTCCTGAGTCATTGTCTCTGGCCTAGGAACAAAAGTGGGTGACATCTGAGGGCCAGCTCAGGCACCCCTCCATCCCCAGCAGGTCTCAGAAGCCCAGGAGGTCGGTCTAGGGAAGCTCCATCAGCCTTTCGGAGGCTACTCCAAACTAGCAAACACTTTTCTGAAGAGAGTGAGCTTGCTCTGCAAATCCAAGTTGGAATAAGTTTCCGCTCCTGCACCCTAATTTAACATATCACTCCTCAGAGCCCCTCCCATGTCGAAGTTCTGCCTTTCAGCCAGGCACAGTGGTGCACACTTGTAATCCTAGCAACGTGGGAGGCTGAGGCAGGAGGATTGCAGATTCAAAGCCAGCCTCAGCACCTGGGCAAGGCCGTGTCTCTAAATACGAAATAACAAGGGCTGGAGGGTGTCTCGGGGGTTAAGTGCCCCGGTGCAAAAGAAAAAAAAGAAGTTCTGCCTTTCTCCCCCAGCAACTTACACACACACACACACACACACACACACACACACAACACACACACAACACACAACACACACACATATTCGTGGGCACAGAAATATTCAGCTTCCCTAAGCATTGACCGTACCCTTCCTTCTCTTTGTTCTCTCATTTCAGTCTTACTACTACAAATACAGATTTCCTTGGTGAACCATGAGTGCTCGAGGAGTGGGGCACAGACGTTTTTATTCATTCTAGTGCCTTTTGGAGAAAAATATAACTGACACACGAGGGCTGTGTGTTCACTGGCTTTTCTGTTCAGGATGAACAGCTGGTGGTCAAGTTTCAAACAGGAGTTGATTTAAGAAAAAAAAAAAAAAAACCCAGTTCAAAGCCTGACTCTTCTCACAGCATCGGGTTTTAAGASGCTGAAGGCTGGGAAACTGTTTTAAGGCTTTAAAGAACCGAGAGAGGAAAACTCTGGTCCCCATTTTATAAAAACTGAGGCTCCAATAGAGAGACTGTCCTAAGGGCCCCTTGGTTCCAAGAGGGGAAGGCCAGGCCTGGCCACCCCCTATACCATGTCCCTTCCACAGCACAGGGGGTGGCACCCAGATTCCACCTGCCAGGAACCACCAGCAATCTTTCCAAGGAGGGAAACTGAGGCCCAGAGGCGCATGGCAACTGTCCATGCCCAGGCCCCGTGGGTCTCACTCCCCCATGGGCCTCACCCCCCCATGGGCCTCAGTCCCCGTGGCCTAGCCACCTCTGATAAACACACCCACAGCCAACACAGAACAAATTAAAAGCATTTTTATCATTTTGCTCTGGACATAATTTCTCTAGAAGGAACTCGTTTAATTTATAATTGGCTATGATTTTTCTTTCCTACTCAAGAATTCTGGTACAGTCAGAAATAAAAAGAAAAGTCTAGCCTGAAACGTGATATTGATAGTCATGAAATTTTTATGAGTACTAAATTGAACAATTAGCGAAATTTGATCCTATCAATGAGGCAGGTGTTGGTTTCCATTCTGGGATTGGCTTTTTCATCTGTTCAAACCCAGACATTTCCTTTCCAGTGTTCAAACGTTTTGGGGGCAGCTGACAAGCCTGAAGGGCTGCGTCCCATGTCCCCTGGGGCCAAGGACTTACCCGGACAGAAGCCACCTGCTGGTTGGGTATCACAAGTTCTGGGATGATCACTGCGATGTGAACAGAAGGGGGTCAGTGGGCTGAGACGGGGCCCCTCTGGCCCGATGCTTTGCCCCATCTCCCTCAGCACCTCTGCCCGCGGGAGGCCCCACTGCGGCTACAGCGGGGCCAGGGATGGGCAGCTCCTCCACCTCCCGCTGTACAGATGGGGAAACCGAGGCCCAAAGAGGGAGGGCATCGGGTGTCCCCTCAGGGACCACTGTGGGGTGAGTAGGGTTAGAGTTCTTTTTCCCTTTCTAAGGTCCCTTTGAGGCCTAAGGAGGGCCTATGGGGACTGCCTGAAGGTCATTTGAGGTGGCACAGGGGGCGGGAGGGGGTGTTGGTGAAGAGCAGGGGGCTGCTTACCAAAAGTTTGATTATCAGGTAGGAAATAGGGTGCATTGTCATTCATGTCCTCGATGGTAATAAGGAGGCTTCCTGGGGAGACAAGGTCACCCGGCTGCAGGCTCTGGGCAAAGACCTGCCCCAAAGGTCCCGGGCCTCAGTAAATTCCCTTCAGCCTCCCTCCCACGCATCACCCCCATTCAGTCCCTTCCCCTGCTCCTGAGCTGGGATGCCCATGCAGCCTTCTCTGGCCTGAGTGACGGGGAGTGTCATTCCTGGACCTCAGAGAGGAAAAGCAGCTCATCCAAAAAATAGAGAGTTAGATATATGTAGCTATAAATATATATGAGCTGGGGCTGGAGCATGGTGGTAGGCACTTGTGCAGCAGAAGTGAGGCCCTGGGTTCCATCATAGAGAGAGAGAGAGAGAGAGAGATGCACTGGGGATGGAACCCAGAGCCTCACTTCTGCTGGGCAAGTGAGATTATATATACATATATATGTATGTATCTCTCTATATAGATATAGATATGGATATCTATATAGATATCCATAGGTAGATATAGATATCCTTATCTATATAGAGAGATACATACATAYATGTAGATAAAATCTACACTATTTAGAAAGTAGTAGTATACACTAGAAATGTATATTATTAGTTTATGTATGACTTTATATATATTTGTAATATATAAATATATATTACTTTCTAACTCATGTAGTTGCTTATTTAAACACCCATTCCATGCCTCAGTTTCCCCATCTATCAAATTGGGTAGACATCTGCTTCATGGGTTAGGCAGGAATCAAATGAAGATCTGCTTACAAGGGGCCTGGTATAGTTTAGGGCCCTGGTAAAGAGTCAACACATGCTAGTTGTTAATATGATTATTTCTGCTGTTTGGCAGCAGTAATATTGAAGGCGGCTATGAATCTACATCTGCCTTGAAGTATGCTCTTTCCATTGTACAGACTAAAAAATAACAGCATAGGATGCAGGGGACACAGCTCAGCGGTAGAGCACTTGCCTGGTGTGTATGAGAGCCCGAGGTCAGTCCCCGGTACCACCCACACACACACACACACAMAAAAAAAAATAATTTAAAAATAACAACACTAATGAGGCACCTGCTGTAGGCCGAGTCCTGCCSTACATGCTTTCTACACATACTGTCATTTCAAGTTCACGGCTGACCTGCTGTCCAACTCTATTGGACAGATGGAAAACAAACCCTGGAAAGGACTTTGCCTGGGACACCACTACGTAGGGCTGGAGGCAGGACTTGGAGCCAGGTTGTGGGGGTCCCAGCCCAGAGGTCCACCCCGTGGTCCTGAGCGGCAGCCCTGCGGGCCAGACCACCTTACCATTGTTGCTGTAGGCCTGGAAGCGGGGATCTGTGGTGCGGTCATAGGCCCGCACGACCAGCGTGACCAGGTCGCAGGCCTCGTAGTCGATGGCCTCGCTCTGATTGATGTACACGGAGCCGTTGGCCTCCACAGAGAACCAGCCGTGGCACAGGCCGCCCACGTCCACCCCAGCCTTGGTACAGATGACATTCACCAGCTGGATCTCCAGCTGGGCCTCCGTGTCCACGTCCTGGGCCACCACCTGAGCCACCTGGCCATGCTGGGACCCATTCTCAGCCACAGAGACGCCCCGGAGGGACCCTTCATCCAGGGTGGGCGGCTCGTCGTTCACGTCCACCACAGTCATGTTGACGCCCGCCGTGGCCTCGTGGCCCTGGGGGTCCAGGTTCTCAGCAGTCACTGTCAGAAGGAAGAGGGCCTGTGTCTCATAGTCCACGCTCCCATCTGAGGGCAGCCAGATCTGGCCCTTCGCCCTCCCGGGCCCCAGCACGGAGCCCCGGATCATGAAGTTGCTGGCACCGYTCCCCGACAGGCCGAAGCTGATGCGATTGTTGACCTCCGTCTGGTCGGCATCCCAGGCCTCCACGACCCCCACCAGCACTCCTGTGGGAAGGGAAAGAGGTCACAGGGACTCTGGACCGGCCACGGGAGGCCTCCTCTGCCCCCAGGTCTCCGGCTCTCCCCGGCAGGCTCTCCCGGACGGCGCGGCCGTTGTGACGGTGACTATGCTATTTGGTGTCAGGAGTGGGATATCCACGTACACCCAACGACATTGTGCTCTTTCCTTTATGCTGCCTCACAAAACAGCAGAGTTAATGAGATGCCTACTGTATGCGGTGTGCTTAGCCCTGGATGTGACAAGCACTTTACATCCATTTCATCTTTCCAGCCAACGCACTGCCCAACTCTGGGGACATCCCTGGTGCCCAGCCTGCCCTGAAGAGGACTTACCCGACTCCCTCTCCTTCACAAAGAATTGGTAGCTGGACTGGTTGAAGACGGGCACGTTATCATTGATGTCCTGCAGGTAGAGGGCGATGTGAGTTCCGGGGACCCTGGTGGACCCCGGGGTTCACTCGCCACACGTCCCACCTGAGAAGCCACAGACAGAGGATGGCCTCTCCTTGCACAGCTCAGCCCAATTCCTGATGGGCAAACAGGAAGCGGGCTTCTTCGAGGAGAGTGAACCTTGACGGTGTCCCTGTCATATCCCCGGGGCTCCGAGGCATGTGCAAGGCCCTCTGTAATTATTTATACGTGGCCAGGAAGCTCCATTTCCCTTTTGTTTCTGTGACCACAGCTCAGGACAGTTTTGACCCTGTGTTCCAGAAGGCAGTTCCAGGTCCCCATCTGTGTCCCTGTCTGGCTCAGTGTGACTTCTCATTTCTGGGAGAGCTCTGCAGCCCACGCTCGCCCTTGTCCCCTCCCTCCTCCTGGGTTTCCTGCGCTCATCTGACCCGGGGACACTAGCTCTGTGCTCAGGTGGAGCTGGGTCTGGGCCCCTGCGAGGGCCTGGACTGGTCCTGCCCTTGGACACTAGCTGTCCACTTGTCACTTGCCCTCTCCAGCCAGGCACCGCTGGGCCCTGACAGTGTTGTCCCAGCATGAAACCGTCTCAGCCTTCATGACGTCCCCCATAGTGTCCCGCACTTAGGGCCTCCCTGGACACTCGGGCCCTTCCCTGGGGCTGTTCACAGGTGGGTGACATCACGGGCCTTTGCTTTGACATTCAATTTTCTATAACCACAGAGGGGACACTTGGAAAGCAAAGCACTTTCATCTTCAACTCGATATTTTCTTTCATTCTTTAATTTTTAGCTGGGTCCAGTTGTGTTGCCCAGGCTGAAGTGGTCCTGCGACTTCAGCCTCCCGAGTGGCCGAGTGGCTGGGCTCAGGCCACGCTCCACCAGGCGATTTCCCAGAGGAGGCTTTGACAGCTCCATTCTCATGGTCAGCCCAACTCCCAGGAGCAGCCAAAAGCTAAGCCCTGAGTCCAATCCCACCCTTCTCTGCCTCTTGTGTGTCTTTGACCTTCCTAGGCCTCAGTGTCCTCTGCAAAATGGGGTATCGGTATCCACTTACTAGCAGGACTAGCTCCTAGGGGTAAAGGACCCACTGTCTTAGGAAGAGCAGTTCTTCATTTTCCCTTCTTTGTGGCCTTCCATAACCCCAGGAGAGCTGAGTCTAGATCTTCTGTTTCCCCAGTATCCCTGGAATCATACTCTCTGACCTTTGTAGGAGAGTGGTGATTCCCAGCCCGTTGGCACTCAGGACTATACACTGCACAACCCTCGGGGGACCATCCTCATCATTGCCATTGTAGAGGTGCACATTTGTCACAACCCTTTCCCAGAAGAGGGTGCTTTGTGGGCAGGTGACAGCCTTCGAACCAGACCAATCATGTTCAAATCCCATTCTGCAACCCTAGGCAAGCTATTGAACCTCTCTGTGTCTGTCTTAATAAAATGGTAATAACTTTGCAGAGCCCAAAGTGCAGTAGACACTCTCGATGCTGATGGGCCACTCTTTCTCTTTGCCTTTGGATCGGAAGGGTCCGGTAGGACTTTGGAATGATGATAAAAACTAACGTCCACTGAATTCCTTCTCTGGGCGGGGCCTCTTAGGGACATTTTTCATAGATGGACTCAGCTCATCTCCGTGCTGTTTTCATCCCATTTCACACATGAGGAATCACAGGCCAGGGGAGTTGGGTGGCCCAGGGCCACACTCCCAGCCTGTGGGCCGGGGCGCTCTCCCAGGCAGCCCAGTGGACACCTGTTGGGGGATCCCCAACCCGGCTCACTAAGCGGGGCCTCACCTCCACATTGATGGTGACGTTGACGTCCGTGCTCAAGCTGGGCACACCGCAGTCGGACACCCGCACCGTGAGCACAATGCGGCCCTCCAGGGTGGGGTCGATGGCCTCTCGGTCCAGGGGCCCCCGGTTTCTGAGGAGCCCGGTGTTGGAGTCTATGGAGAAGTTGTGGCTGTAGGGGCCAGGAAGCAAGCTGAAGAGCAGACGGCTGTTATTGGTGTCTGGCTCGTCATTGTCATAGGCCTGTGCAGACAGCAGAAGTCGGAAGTCAGCCATGGGGTGCCCCTGAGCACCCCGCCCCTCCCCTGCAGCCTGGCCTCCCCCTCCAGCAACTGGGCCTGGAGCGACGGGGACGCTGGACAGACCCCCAACCTCAGTCTCCCTCCGAAGCTCAGAGCCACAGTCTGAGGGAGCTCTGAGGTCTGGGAGCTCTGAGGTCTGGGCGCTCACGTCATTGTGCATTCCCCTGGCAACGTTCACTGTGCATCTATTACATGCCCGTGGCGTTGGGGGTAGAGCAGTGATCAAGACAGTTCCCTATGAATCCGAGATGCTACTGGGTAAAGGCCACAGGGAAGTACACTACAGACATTCAAATATCAGAAAATATAAGATTGTGGGCTGGGGATGTAGCTCAAGCGGTAGCGAGCTCGCCTGGCATGCGTGCGGCCCGGGTTCGATCCTCAGCACCACATACCAACAAAGATGTTGTGTCCCCCGAGAACTAAAATAAATAAATTCTCTCTCTCTCTCTCCCCCTCTCCTCTCTCTTTAAAAAAAAAAAAAAAGAAAGAAAATATAAGATTGTGATTTTCCCATGATGACTACTACAGTGCTATATTTTCTTTTCTTTCTTTTTTTTTTGAATTTTTAATATTTATTTTTTAGTTATCTACCCCTGAGCCACAACCCCAGCCCGAGAGCTATATTCCCAAAGAGCTAATTCTTCACCCAATGTGCATGAGTGTGTGTACAGGTGTGTTCCTGACCTGCCAGGGTCCCAAACGTGTTTGGTTTGTATGCTGGCTAAACAAGCTCATAGGATACAAGTTCTTCCATGCCACGGGTCCTTGGCACATGCTGTTTCCTCATCCTGAATGCCCTCTACCTCTGCCCTGACTGACTCTAGCCCAAGTTGAGGCTTCTTCTGGGTCCATCGTTTCGTTACCTTTAATATGGCAGAGATGGCCTTGTGCCCTCCTTGAAGCTGAGAGCTACCCATGGGTTGGAATTATGGTGACTTCATCTCTGAGGACCTGAGGTCCAGCAAAGGAGCTAGGCAGAGCGGGTGCTCGGTAAATGCCAGGTTATTCTAACTTGGAGCCGATGTTTCCCCTCCTCCCTGCCCAGTTCCCACCTCCAGCCCTTTCATTTCAGTTCCGCTGGGATCTTGTTCATTAGAAGTCTCCTTCATAAGCAGCCAGAGATGGCTCTTCCCAAAGCCTGACCCTGTTCGTTTCTTGAACTCAGACCAGTTAATCTGCCAGGCACTCGTCAGGACTCACACTGGGCAGATTTGAAGTGCTTCTGCCCCAGGGAGCTCGGAAGCCAGGAGGGGATTATTGAGGAGCATTGAAAAGGGGGCTCCAGCTCCCAGAGGTCTGGGCGGAAGTCCTCGGGCTGCCATTTGCTGGCTGTGCAACCCTAGAAACACACTTRACCTTTCTGAGCTTCAGTACTAGGGCAATGCTTGGCAGGTGTTTGGGAAGCCGCCCGGTCCCCAGCGAGACGGGAGGGCTCCGTGGCCAAGTGATTGTCATCCTAGGGACCTGCTTTCCCACTTCTCACCAGACCTGCTTTCAGAAAGCCCAGGAGAAGCCTCTGAAATCCTCAGGACACAGAAAACGTTCTCCTCGGTGCTTCTCTGGAGCCTCGGGTGTTGTGCTTGGTTGTTGTCGTTGTTGCTTTTGGGGTGCTGGGGACCGAGCCCAGGGCCCTGTGCACGTGAGGCAGGCCCTCTACCAACTGAGCCACGTCCCCAGTCCTCATTGAACCTGCGCGTCCTCGTTTTGTTTTGTTTTGTTTTGGCTTTAGGAAGCTCAGGACTGACTTTGCCCCCACCGTCAGCGACCATTCCATCTCCACTTCTGGTTCTGCTCTTTGGGCTCTGAGTCCTACTCTCTCCGGGCCCTTTAATAATGCCATCCTTTTTTTTTTTTTTACCCCCTTTATTTCCTCTACTTTCGTGGGGAGATCCCGGGGATTGAGCCCAGGGGCACTCAACCACTGAGCCACCTCCCGGCCCTCTTCATGTTTTATAGGGAGACAGGGTGTCACTAAGTTGCTTAGGGCCTCCCTAAATTGCCGAGGCTGATTTTGAACTTGCGATCCTCCTGCCTCAGCCTCCGGAGCTGCTGGGGTTTCGGGGTACACCACAGCGCCCGGCTTCCTCTACATTGTCATCTTACTTTTTAGGTAATCCCTCTCAAGTCAGCACCATGCACATGAAAGAGCAGCCTATTTTTGAAGACCTCTTTGCCTTATGCTGAGCACTTCACGTCCATTATCTCATTATCCCCTAGTGGGCCTGAGAATAAATATTATGATCATCTTCACTTTATGAAAACAGACGCTCAGGGCGGGGGCTGGGGCTGGGGCTCAGTGGTAGAACGTTTGCCTTGCACGCATGAGGCCCTGGGTTCGATCCTCAGCACCACATAAAAACAAATAAATAAAAAATAAAGATATTGGGTCCATCTACAACTAAAAAAAAAAAATAAAAATAAAAACAACAACAGAGGCTCAGAAAGGCTGAGCAACTTTCTAGGGCCACACAGCAGAGCTCAGACTCTATCCAGGCCAGCAGGACCACCGAGCCAGGCTCTGTCCCTCCCCCGTCCCACCCACCAGGTCCAGGCCAATTCATACCTGGATGGTCACGGAGACGTTGCCCGTCTCCTCCTGGACGAAGATGTTGTAGGAGCCGCTGACTACCGGGGCATTGTCATTGACGTCCAGCAAGTTGACCTGCAGCGTGGTGGAGGTGGACAGGTTGCCGCCGTCTGTGGCCTGCAGGGTGAGGTAGTACACGGCCTGCCTCTCCCGGTCCAGCAGCGTGCCGTTTTTCACAGTCACTGTCCCTGAGTCTGGATCCACCGCAAAGACGTCATCCCTGTTCAGGGGGGGACCAGAGGTAGCCAATAAAATGTCAAGATGCCCTCTGAAAATTTGAGTTTCAGATAAGCAGTGACACATATTTTAATACCTACTGTCGATCTTTCCAACATCCATTCTTATTAARGTTTGGGTGTGACCTGAGTGTGTCCCCAAGTCTTCCTGTGCTAGAAGCTCGGTTCACAGCGTAGCCATGGGAAGAGGCCACGGGGCCTTTAAAACATGAGGCCTGGTGGGAGGTGTGTTCCCGGCCCCTCCGCTCCCTCTCGTTCCCTGTCTCACCTCTGATCTCTCCCTCCGATACACATTTTCACCACAGTGAGGTCCCCGACAGATGCTGGTACCATGCTCTTAAACCTCCAGAACTGTCAGCTAATGAGAATTCTTGTCTTTGTAAAGAATCCAGTCTCAAGTATTGTGTAATAATAATAGAAAAACAGACTAATACACATTTTTTTAAAATTATTGCTTGTTTTTCTGAAATTAAAATGTAACTGGGATCCCTACATTTTCTCAGGCTACCCTAGTCCCATGGTGAAGCACAGAGGTAGACCTGAGCCCCACTTGCCCCCCTGCCCACCGCCCTCCCTAAGACCTTACCCATTTCCTGGGAGCAGGCTGTAGGTGATGCGGCCCCATTCACCCGTGTCTGGGTCAGTGGCCTATGAGGCAGAGAGACGGTGAGACATTGTTTGGATCCAATGGTACTTTCTGCCTAGCATGCAATTTATGGAAACAGGGCCCTCGTGCTTCCTGACATGATGCAGAGATTCGGAGTAGGGGCACGGTCCCCAGGCCCGCCCTTCTCTCCCTCCCATCCTGGCCCAGCCACACTCCCCATCAGTCACCTGGATGCTGCTTGTGACCACAGAGCCCGTGGCGCTGTCCTCTGGCACACTGAGCACATACAAGTTCTGGGGGAACGTGGGTCTGTGGTCATTGATGTCTCGGAGCTGGATGGTCACCATGGCGACAGAGGAGTTCTTACTGACCGAGTCAGTGGCCACAACCTGAGGACAGAAGAAAAGGCAGCGATGCTGGGGCCTGACTGCCCGGTGGCCCTGACCCCCACGACCCAGGGCGCCCCTCACCTGCACCGTCATCTCTGTCTTTCTCTCGTAGTCCACCATCTCCGATTCTTTCACCAGGACCTGCACGTTGACGGAGCCTGCGGCCAACTCAGGAGAGACACTGAAGGCTCCTGCGTCAGGGCCCTCCAGGGACAGCAGGAAGGTGCCGTTTTCGCCCTGTAGAGGTGGGTGGTGTAGTAGGAACCCCGGGCCCTTCCCACCTCCCCACCTGCGTCTTCCCCCCCGTCTCTAGCTCCGGGTTCCTGTCTCCAGAAGCCCTGCCCAGGGAGGTCCCACATGCAAGGGGTCCTGAAACAGTGGGGCCCAGGAGGCCGGGCTGGTCACTAGCATCTGCAAATAGGAGCTTATCAGATGAGGACTTCCCTAGGCACAGCGGGTCCCAGACCTGGGATGGAGACCGAGCCTGGTCACACTGCCCTCCTCTCCGTCTCGCTAACAACCCCATCGCCACACCAACCCAGCAGCACTCCATTACCAATGCCACCCTTCAGTCCACACCACGCACCAGCTCAACACACCCAGCACCCCGCACCCAGCACCCTCAACCTTTTGCACCAACTCCATATCACCCAGCACCACCCAATGCCACCCATGTACCGGTCAGCACCACTCAAGTGACCACCTCTCAATATGGATCTTCGTGTAAGAGCCCCCTCCAATGTCACACTCACTCAGATCACTGTGGCTGCAACAGTGCCCAGCATCTCCCAACTCCCAGTAATACCCCAGTCACTGACCACTGTCACCAATGCCACCAGAAGTTCCACCGCACTCAGCAGTTCCCACACCCAACCCCAACCCCCACTCAACCCTGCCTTTCTGTTCAACACCATCTGGAGTCACCCTGGGCACAACTCGCCAGTGAGTCGTAACTCACCAACTCAACGTCGTCCAACATCTCCAGGCATCGCCCTCGACCCCCACGCTCCACAGTCACCTGACCCTCTCCACCGTCACCCATGTTCACCATTGGTGCCGTCTTTCCCCTGGAGCCTACCACCCACCTTCCTGCCATGTTCTCTGCCACTCCTTCACCACCTACCTCCCTAGCCGTCACCCACCGTCACCCCCTGCTCTTGCCCGCTGCCCGTGCACCTGCCTTGTCTGGGTCGTAGGCCACCATGGTCAGCCCACTGATGGGGATGCGGGCAGAGGCGTGCTCATCCACGTAGCCGGTGAAGTTGGTCTGGGCTTCTTGGGGTGAGAAAGCGCAGTGCGGGAGGCTGCAGTTGTAAAACTCAGGTTTGTGGTCATTGACGTCCATCACTCTTATAGTGACCCACAGGCTCACCTTGGCCTCTTGTCCGTAGATGTTGCGGTTACTCTCAGTGGCCTGAGGTACAGAGCAGAAGCAATGACAGAGGGCGGAGAACAGGGTTCAGAGAGGGTGTGACAAAGGGCAGAGGCGGGGAGGCAGGACGGCGGCTCACCCACCGTGACCTGCAGCTGCACTTGCTCATCCTCGTCCAGCAGGAGCTCGCGGTCCAGGCTGCCTCCCACCATGATGACCCCATCGTCTGCCTCGATGGTGAACCAGCCGGGCCTTGTGGAGTCTGACCAGGAGGCAGACGGAGCAGCTGTTTCCAGTGACCCAGGCAGAGCCCCCACCCCATGCCTTGCCCCAGCCCAGGCCAGCCCAGCAGGACACCCCGGTTCTCACTGGAGATGCTATAGGTCACACGGTCATTGATGCCTTTGTCTCCGTCCACAGCCTCCACCTGCAGCACCGAGGTCCCCTGGAAGGAGGCCTGGTCAGTGCCCTTGGCCCTTTCCTCTGCCTGCCGTCTCCTCCGGGGCCCTCCAGTCCCCCCTCCAGTCCCCGACACTTACCACGGCTGCATCCTCGGCCACCGAAGCCGAGTAAAACTCCCTGACAAACTGAGGGTCCAGGTCAGGCTGGTCCACCACCGTGATGGACAGGAAGACGGGAGGGGAGCACTGGGTGGTAATGTTGTTGTGGAGTAGGCCGCCCAGGTCCTGGGGGGAGACGGGCTTTCTGTGAGCCAGGGCTGGGGGGTCGCCCTGTCCCCGGCCCCCGCCTGCCGGCCACTCACGCAGGCTTTCAGCTGCAGCTGGTAGAAGGCGCTCTTGTTGTTGTAGCTGAGGCTGCCGTTGAGGATGATCGATCCGTTGTCCAGGATTTTGAAGAGATGTTCACTGTCCACAGTGGTAGGGATGACCTGGGGCGGGGGACATTCGGGTTGACCCTCAGGACAGTGGAACCCCCAGGAGCCGGCTCTGAGGGCTCTACCATTGACAAGTGGCGAACTTCACCAAGTCACACGATGCCTACTCCCAGTTTCTGCCTCTGGAAAGTGGAGTTGGACCTGACACTGCCTCCATGGGTTGAAAAGAGGGTCCCATGAGACAGCAGATGTCCAAGGGCATAGTTGTCACCAAGGAGTGRTGTGATCCCTAGCAAATTTGCCTTCGAGTTTTCTCACACATCCGGGTCATCTGTGTGACCTTGGTCCAGACCCCAAATGTCTCTGAGCCCTTATTTCCCCTGGGAAGCCAGGAGTGTGTTGGCTACAGGGTGGAAGGACGTCAGCTCTACCAGGGACCCGACAGTGCCCTGTGAGGGAGGGTGGGAGGGAGGTACCAGGAAGCAGGGGGCTTCCTTTGGCAGATGGACAAAGTGGGGCTCCCSGGGGAGCTGGGTCAGAGGGCTAGAGGAAGACAGGGGACCAGGGCCAGGCCAGAGCCGAGCTGTGACTCTGTGGATTAGCTGTGGATATGCTGCCCCCTGGTGGCCACAGAAGCAGTCAGGACACACGCGCTCCCGGGGCCACCCCTAGGACTGCCACACTCACCTTCTCTATGAAGTACTTCACCACGCCTGCTGGCCCAGTGTCCTTGTCCTCCGCCAGCACCGAGAACACCACGGAGCCAACAGGCAGGGTCTGCAGGGAGGGACTTGTCACCCGTGGGCTCAAATCCTCTCTACCTCTCTTGAGCTTCAGTTGCCTCAACTGTCCCCTGGGAAAGTGTGACCGCGTCCTTCCCAAGTGGGCTGGGCCTTTGGAGGTATCCAGGGATGGTGYGGGCAGGACCTCACTCTCCTCCTTTCCCTAATAGCATTGCCACCACCTGAAATGGCTTCTGATTTGTGCAGCCTGTCCGGACCGGGGTGAGGGAATGTTCTAGAACCCAGTCTGACTATACCACTTGCCTCCTCAGACATCCCATGGGCTCTCTACAGCGTACAGCCCTGAATTTCAAAAGACACCCAGCAGAGCTGGAAGGTTCCCTCTTTTTTTACTTTTTATATCTTGGTGCTGGGATCGAACCCAGGAGTGCTTCAGCACGGAGCTACATTTCCAGCCCTTGTATTTTTTTATTTTGAGACAGGGTCTCTGAGGCTGGCCTTGAACTTGGGATCCTCCTGCCTCAACCTCTGGAAGGTTCTTTTGGGAGGCCTTTGCTCTGGACTGCTACTTCCACACAGCAGCCAAAGACATCTTAAAAGCATGAATCAGACCATATCACTCTTGTGCTTAAAACCCTCCAGGTGTTCCCCCATTATACCCAGAACATGGTCCAGACAGCTTCTGGGGCCCTCTGAGGTCAGGCTGCTGCCCCACTCTGTGATCTCACCCCTCTCTCACCCTCTACTCTCCAGCCACTCTAATCCAGCTCATTCCCACCGCAGGGCCTTTGCACTGCTGTTCCCCTGCCTGGAACATGCTCTCCCCAGAGCACCCTCCGACAGGCTCCTTCTGGCCTTCCCTGACCACTCCACCCAAAGCAGCTCCCTTCCAAGTCACTTTCTTTCACTTGCCCTGTTTTGTGGTCTTCATATACCTCAGCCCCACTTTTGTACATTATCATCTGTGCCCCACACTAGACCAGGAGCCTTTGCAGGTGCCAACCAGGGAGGCATCATTCACCCAGTAACTCTGGCCCCTAAAACAGCGCCTAGCACATAGCGCTCCATCAGAGCCTGTCCCATGACTGTCCAACCCATGTTGGGCCTAGCACGCCTTCTCCCCCAACACAGGTCTTTGCACCCAAGTGGTCATGAACATTCCCAAGTGATGGTGTGTTTGCTACCCAACAGCCATCAGGGAACCTCTTCCCCACTCAGTAGTTCAACTGGACTGTGCCCTTTTATTGAGGGAAGGCCCATGTGGCAGATTTAGCCAATCAGAGCACTTGTGAGTTAACATTAGTTCAAGGTTAACAATGACCCCAAGTGAGCCTATGAAAGTCAGTCGTGGGTTTAGCCTGGAATCCCTGAGGAAGAGAGAGCTCTCCTGTTGAAGCTGCAAAGCTGCTAGGATGCTAATCTGGAGCTGCTAGGGGACATTTTTCTTGCCACTTTAATTTTAGAACTGCTTCCTGTGCCTCATGATGAAGAGAGCAAGAGAAGAAGAGCCAAGAGGTGGAGACAGACATCTGCTGAGGACACAGTTTGAGTACCTGGATCTAGCCAAGGCTGAAGTCAGTGGTATCTCTAATTTTTTGGATACATTAAAAAAATCAACTCCCTTCCCTTCTGCTATAACTGAACGAATTCCAATCCAATCTAGTTGCTTGAAAAATGTTGCTCTAAGTATTGTTTGTGGGTTGCCTCTCCCTGGATTTGGTTAGGGTAGCTGTCCCTTCTGGGAGAGACTTTTCCTGATCCTGGTTACCCACGGGCTGCCTCTGGTGCTTCCCACTCTGAGAAGTGCTTTGGGATATACCCTTCCCCATGCTCTGTCCCATTAAGAAAGATGTTACCTCGTTGATACTGGTGGAGAATCCAGTGTTCTGGAAAACAGGGGCATTGTCATTTCTGTCTTCCACAATCACGGGCAATTCTTTTTGCACCTGCAGGTTTAAGAAAGCCCAGGTGAGCCCAGAAAATATGGTTTAAAATGCCAGAAAAAGCCAGGCACAGTGGTGCATGCCAGTAATCGCAGGGACTCAAGAGGCCGAGGCAGGAGGGTGGCAAGGTCAAAGCCAGCCTCAGCAACTTAGCGAGGCCCTAAGCAACTCAGTGAGACCCTGTCTCTAAATAAAAATATAAAAACAGACTGGGGGCTGGGGATGTGGCTCAAGTGGTATCGCACTCACTTGGCATGCACGAGGCACTGGGTTCAATCCTCAGCACCACATAAAAATAAAATAAAGATATTGTGTCCACCTAAAACTAAAAAATAAATATTTTTTAAAAAACAGGCTAGGGATGTGGCTCCGTGGTCATGCACCTGTGGGTTCAATCTCTGGTACCAAAAAATATATAAATAAAATGCCAGGAAAAGTTGTAAATATAGTACACAGAACCTTGATACCTTTCTTCTGGATCGACCCATCATTTAGTTTCTCTTACTCTCCCTGGATTTTCTGAAACATTTGAAAGTGAAATTGCAGATATCTTTAGGTAGTCTTTAAATTTAAAATGTGCATGTCCTATAACAGGAACATGCAACTAAGCTTTGTTTGCCACAGTTTAAAGCTGTGAACAACCTGAGTGCCCATCAAAGGGGACTAACTAAAGCCCCATGACACATTCCGACACAGAAGTCAGACATTACAAGAAACAGGGGAGCGCCCCGTTTCTCTCCACGTGCTGCCCTGCACAGCCCTGGTACTCCGCCTGCAAGAATTCCATCGCCAGGTGGAGCCCCTCAACACTGGACCAGAACTGTGAACCCAAATAAACCTCTTTCCTTAAGAACTTTCAAACAAGGAAAAGAAAGAAAGGATTTATGTTCACAAATGCAAAAAGAGCGTCAAGCTCAACTACTGAGTAGATGAGGCAGCTTCAAGACAGTACGTACAGCAGGGTCCCATCATGTGGGTTTCAGGAAACGCACCAACAGGGGCTGGGGATATGGCTTAAGTGGTAGCGCGCTCGCCTGGCATGCATGAGGCCCTGGGTTCGATCCTCAGCACCACATAAAAATGATAATTAAAAAAAAGATATTGTGTCCACCTAAAGCTAAAAAATAAATATTTAAAGAAAAGAAAATGCACCAACAAAGGCAGCCTTTCCTCCAAGGATACAGGGATGTACGCATGTGCTCGGGAAGACATTTCAGTGGGGGTGGCCTCAGGGGGCTCTTTAAGGAGAATTTAGCTTTCTCTGCAAATTTTAAAATGTTTACATAGAGAATTTATTAATGAGAATTCAAGTGATCTTTTTAAGGGGTGGGTGCTATGGTTTGGATGTGGGTTTTCTCCCAAGGATTCCTGTGTTGGAGGCTTCGTCCACAGTGGGTCAATGTGGAGGTCGTGGAATCTTTCAGAGTGGGAGGTCCCCGGGGTTGCCCCCCTCGGAAGGGATTACGATAATTTCCCTGTGGCTCCTGGTTAGTTCTCACAAGGAGACTGTTATAGAAGAGCAGGGCGGGCCATTTCCTAGGCTCCGCAGCTTCCTGTCTGGTGATCTCTCCCTCTTTGCATGTATGCCCATCACTCTGGAGCCATCTGCCATGAGGTCCTCGCCAGAGCCTGGTCGATGCCAGCACCGTGCTCTTGAACCTCCAGAACTGTGAGCTAAACAAACCTCCTTATGCCAAGCCTCAGGCACTTTGTTATAGTCATGGAAAATGGACTAATAAAATGTGAGACCAACTCTCCACTTCCATACAAGAGACAGTAGCATATTTTAGAGATGTGAATGTAGATGCCAACACATTCAGACAAAGGAGCTGAGATCTCCCACCTGCGCGGGTAGGGAGGTGTTTTGTTTTGGTTTTGGTACCAGGGATTGAACCTAGGGGCACTTAACCACTGAGGCACATCCCCTGCCCCTTTTTCATATTTTGTTTAGAGGTAGGGTCTCACTGAGTTGCTTAGCGCCTCGCCGTTGCTGAGGCTGGCTTTGAACTCACGATCCTCCTGCCTCAGCCTCCCAAGCTGCTGGGATTACAGGCATGTGCCACTGTGCCCAGCTACGAGAGGTGTTTGACACTTGATTTTTAATCAATATTACATTAATTATTGTTATACTTTCATATAAACAAAATTTGATGATGTAATTGAGTTAATAACACATATCAACTCTGGTCATGATAAGAATAAACATTAAATTTGGTATTAACTAGGGTGCTCTACTTGCTTGAGGTGGACAACACAGTCTAGAGTGGGCACCTGGGGGCTGGGGACAGAGCTCAGTTGGTAGAGTGCTTTCCTCACGTGCACAAGGCCCTGTGTTCAATCCCCAGCACCACAAAAAGAAAAAAAATAGAGTGGGCCCCTGGAACCCTGCTCTTCCCTCCCTGGGTCACTCTCCACCCCCTCCACCTTCCAACTCACTGTGTTGAGACCGTCGCTCACAGAGATGGTGACTCTGAAGGCCGGGAGCGTCTGTGATGGGCAGGGAGAAGGGACCCCAGGTGAGCTCAGCGTGGGTACGTAGGCCAGTGCCCGCCACCTGGACACCACCTGGGAGAAGCCTCCCCCTCCCTTCCCCTCCCGGACCCTTCCCATGCTGCTGCCCTGTTACCTCAAAGTCCAGAGGGTAGGCCAGCCTCACTTCCCCCGTGTCTCTGGTGACATTGAAGAAGTAGGCATAGGGGCCACTGATCCCATAAGTCAGATGGGCATTATCCGTGTCTACTGCTACCATCCAGAAGGCCACGGCACCTGGAGATGGAACGGGGCTGCCCAGGCTCTGTGCCCACCTCTTTCAGTACTAGTCTGGCTGAGCCGCCCATGAGGCTGGGCTGGGGGTCTGGCTGCTCTGCACACAGGCTCCACCTTAGTTCTGGGATGTCCCCAGTCCCCAGGATCCAGCTCTGTGGTCATGGACATCAGACGTGGTTGTTACTGAGCCCCCATTCAAAGGCCTCTAAGAACTGCTTCTTGATTTCCTCTGGGGCAGTTTCCTCTAAGTGCACGGGATGGGAAGTAGCAGGGCGGGCATTACCCAGGTGCCTTCCTCTCCCATGGCCGAGCCTGTGGAGGTCACCATGTTCCAGGTGCAGCAGCTGGGTGCATACTAGGGTGGGGGCTGCTGATGACCCGGAGGTGCCTGGGCCTGGCCTCTTCTAAGCTTTCCCTTTATCTAGAGAGTTTCCCCGGAGCTTTTCAGGACACTGTTTCTGCTCCAATTAACCAAAGCTGCATCTGCTGCTGGCCTCCCAAGAACCCGCCTCTCTCACTGTCTCCCTAGGCAGAGCAGGGGCTGGGAAGAGGGGAGCAGGAAAACCCCGAGGTCGGAGACTCTTCAGTCTAAAAGGGACTTTTTGCAGATTCTTCAGACCGACCCCTGGTCCCCCCAGCCTCACCCAGTGGACTGTCGACTACGTTCAGCCTCTGCTGGGCCACCCTCAGTGCCTAGAACTCATCTCCCCTCAGTCCTCCCCTCCTGTCACTGGACAGCTGCTCATTAGCAAGGGCTTTTCCCATTTTATCAGCGTGTGTCCCCCTAGAGCTGCCATCCGTGGGTCCTCGGAAGCCTCATCCATTGGCACAGGAGGCTTGGAGCCTGGGAACCACGGTACTTTCAGGGGCACACAGTGATACTTAATGTCTTTTAAAGTCAGAAGGAGCTAGGCACAAGGGGGCACCCCTGTAATCCCAGCAGCTCAGGAGGCCGAGGCAGGAGGATCGAGAGTTCAAAGCCAGCCTCAGCAACTTAGTGGGGCCCTAAGTAATTCAGCAAGACCCTGTCTCTAAAYAAAATACAAAAAAGGGCTGGGGATGTGGCTCAGTGGTTAAGCACCTCTGGGCTCAATCCCTCGCACCAAAAAGAAATAAAATATTATTTTTAATATAGTTTGCATATTTTTCCTTATGCCAATGCAACCATAAAATATAATTTGAGGCGGGGGGACAGATGGAGAGAGATGGTTAATGGGTACAGGGGTACGGTTGGACAGAAGGAATAACTTCAAATGCCCTTTAGCACAATAGGGTAACTATGGTTGACAATAATTAATTACATATCTCAAAATAGTTAATAGAGAGGATTTTGAAAGTTCCCAACACAAAGAAATGACAAATGCAGGTGACAGATATGCTAATTACACTAATCTGATCTTCACACAGTATATGCATTCATTGAAGAGCTGTGCTGTGCTCCATAAACATGCCCGATTTTATGTGTCAATTAAAAATTTATAAACAGGCACCGTAGCACACTCCTGTAATCCCAGCCACTTGGGAGGCTGAGGCAGGAGGATCACAAGTTCAAGGCCAATCTGGGCAATTTAGTGAGACCCTGCCTCAAAATAAAAAAATAGAAAAAGAGCTGGAGATGTACCTCAGTGGTAGCTCACCTGCTTAGCATGCTCAAGCTCCTGGGATTGGTCTCCAGTACCACCAAAAAATAAACAAACGTCTCTATGTATGTATAATTTGAATATATTGTTCTGAAGGGTCCCATGAAAGCAAAACTGCTCATGATAGCTTCATGCCCCATGTGGTCCGGAGCCCATCCGAGCATCTCACAGAACCACCAGCCCCTCAGGGATGGCMGGGGTCACATGCCCTGGAGTCTGCTGTTCTCTGGTGAAACAGTCTCCACATCTCCAGCTTGGAAGATCCGTCAGTCTTTCCCCACCAGGGCTCCCTCCCCGGAAGGACCTTCAAGACAGTGTTTTGCTAAAAAAATGTTCTCAGGAAAGGACCCCTTGGCCGAGCGTGGTGGTGTGGCCTATGATCCCAGTGACTCCAGAGGCCGAAGCAGGAGGATCACAAGTTTGAAGCCAGCCTGAGCAACTTAGCAAGACCCTGTCTCAAAATTAAATAAAAGGGGTTGGTGATATAACCATGGTAGAGCACTTGCCTTAAAGTAGAAAATAATTTGTCATTTGCAAAGAAATGGATGGAACTGGAGGGCACTGTGTTAAGTGAAATAAGCCAGACTCAGAAAGACAAGTCTCTCACAAGCCAGGGGACAACAGCAGCAAGTGCTGTCAAGTGCTGTCTTCTCCTCCCTGACTCCCAAAACTTCAGTAAAGACTGTGACATGCAGTGGGAGATGCAGCCTGGGTCCATGCCTGGAGAAAGCGAAGTGGGAAGGAGCAACAGCCTCTGGAGCAGGCAGGAGTGGGCTGCAGGGGACTGGGGACTGGCCAGAGGGCTGGGGACAGGAGCAAGAGGAAAGCCACAACCCTCAAAAGCACATACACAGGCAGAGCCTGGGATACCAGGGCAGAGACTCATGTTGACTTATTAGACATTAAAGGGCTGCCCAGAACTATGGGGATCTTGAGAGCATGTGCATTACACATATTTGTGACATTTGTTTGGAAACGTATATGTGTGTTTGTTTATTTTTCTCTTGGACAAAACAGTTATGAAAATATATGTAAATATCATTAATATGTATACAATATTTCTCTGTTCTACAAAGAACTTTCAGAGATATCTCAGATGGTCTCCGCCCGGTCCTGCAAGGAAGGGTGTGCCACCCCAGAATGTGATGTAACTATCGCCTCCCTCGTCCTGGGCCTTAAACCTTTGCCAGTATGACCCATAAGATACTCACTGTCCCAGCAATCATATCCAAATGGATAAGGCCTTTGTGGCTGCAAAGCCCATCCCCATCCTTTTGTCCTGTACTTAGACACAGGTTTCGGAATCCCAGGGCTGACTGTGGTTTTCACTATCTTTCATGTAGTCTCTTGCATCATCTGGTGACTTCTGATATTTTTAGATCTCAATTCTGACACTATGACAAAGACTGTTAATTTTTCCCCCTCCCCCCTTTCATACCCATTCCCCAGGAGCCAGGGACAAGCCCTCTTGGCCCCTGCTCCTCCCACTGGCTGGAATGGGGTATTGCATGAGCCATCTCTCCCACATGGGGGGAGGCCGCCCCCAGGGAAGGCAGAGCATTGAGGCAGAAGGGGGAGACAGGATGAAGGCGTGTCCTCCTCARCAGCTCTGGCTGGCCAAGGGAGAAGACAATAAGCCCCCACCTTGATGATACATCCGGGTCCCAATGAATGCCCTCAACTATTGTGTCTGCCTCCCTGGTCCACATCCTGCCTTCTGGGAATTTGGTCCAGTTCCCCTGGCTTCTTACAAAATGATGTCTCCCAACCCTTATTCCTTCCTGTTTCACTGCCACGACCTTCTCCATATCCATGGATCATTAATTATGATTCTTCTACTTCTTCTTTTGTTTTTTTAAGATGGGGTCTCACTATGTTCCCCAAGCTGTTCTCAAACTCCTGGGCTCAAATGATCCTCTCACCTCAGCCTCCTGAGTAGCTGGGACTGCAGCCACCACCAGGCCACCTTTATCAACCTTTTCACTAACTTGCTATTTCATATCAATACATGTATTTTGAAAGCAAACTTTAGATCACTGCCATAAATGGAACCTCCCCCCTTCTTGCCATAGAGAGAGTGTAACTCTACAAAGAAAGACAATAAAAGCACAGCACCACATGTCTAGGTAAGTCCCTGAGCCTGAAGCCATCTCCTTGGAGTGATCAGAAAGATTGAAAGAGATGGGAAATGGAAATGAGTTCTGTTTATCCTGCATCATGTGAGGGTCCCTGGAGGAGCAGATCACACCCAAGGGGACACTGTTCTCCACTCAAAAGCTGCAGAGAAAACAAACTTCTAAAATCAAACAAACTCCCTCCAGGTCTCCTGCACCCCTAGGACTTCGGTGGGTAAAGGCTTGGGACCGTTACTCACCCAATGGCAAGTCCTCAGGCAGTTGCACAAGCGTCATGTTTTCTCCAAACGTTGGGGGCGAGTTGGCTGCCACTGGAGGGACACAGAGCACTGGGTCACCTGGACACCCCTGAAGATCCTGACCCCCCCACCCTGTCCTATGGCCAACCTCCAGCCCAACTCATCCCGAGAGGGCTGGCCTCCTCCCCAGGCTCCCCGGGCAGCCAGCCACGCACAGTGCCGGGCAACGGGACCTGGGGGTTCGCTAATGAGGGACAGCCCCTCTACTGTGACAGGTCCTGCTTAAGGCCCCCGCTTATTGCTGTTCTTGTTGGAGAAAGGAGGCACCCACCAGACACCGTCAGGGCAGAAAGCAGGAAGCAGGGCAGCCAAGGCCGGGCCATCACGAGGGACCTAGGAGGAAAGGTGTCAGGGAACGGCATCTCAACCCAGGCCTCCCTCCCTCCCTCCCTCCAGCAAAGCCTATCTGCCTGGCTCTGACCCTGAGCCCACCCACCACCTTCACTCAGTGGTTCTCCTTCAGGGCCCTCTCACCCTCCGTCTACTTTCCAGATGCTCCAGGTTGGGGGTAAGCACAGGGAGAGCCAGACAGCCAGGGCAGGATGGCTGAACCTAAACTTGACCCCAGAGCTCAGCACCCACTCTATCCCAGACCTTGCTCCAAGCATCTGAGGTGGAAAATTACATTATTCTTTGGCAGTTAAGAACTTAAGGCTGAGGGAAGAAGGGTTAGCCTGAAGGCACACAGAGGGTCAATGATGAGACCATGCGCTGAACACAGACAGGCCTTTTGGATGGTACAATGCACACCTTAACCACTATGCTACCCTGCCTGTTTGTTCACATTAATAGCATCCTTCAAACTCAGGGGCYTTGATTGTTCAAGACCATCAGCGACATTATGGGTAGGCAGGGTCCTTTGTCCCACTTGCTGATACATTTAATAGCTGCCTGGTCAGCTTTTCTCAAAGTGTGTTCCATGGAAGCCAACCCTGTAAGATTCTTTGCAGTAGAAGGGTTCCCAAGTCACATCATTTTGGTAAAGGGTGTATATGCACTCCTCTTATTGATTGACAGCTACACAAGCACCCTTGGAAAACTCAATCTTCTTGGTCATCTGAATTTACAAGCCGTCCTTCAACCAGGAAAAGGAGAACATTGTTTCCCTGTTATTCAAAGATCTAAAACTCCAAGTCTCCTTCATGCCAAAGGACAAATTGGCTTATTACACTAAAGAAGGAGCGAGCAGGACAGGATCCTTAAATGTTTTTTTTTTTTTTTTTTTTTTTTTTTTTTAAAGAGAGAGTGAGAGAGGAGAGAGAGTGAGAGAGAATTTTTTAATATTTATTTTTTAGTTCTCGGCGGACAACATCTTTGTTGGTATGTGGTGCTGAGGATTGAACCCGGGCCGCACGCATGCCAGGCGAGCGCGCTACCGCTTGAGCCACATCCCCAGCCCCTCCTTAAATGTTTTGTTTTCTGTAAAAAAAATTTTTTTTGAGCCAAGTGTGATGGTGCACACCTAGAATCCCAGCAGCTCAGGAGGCTGAGGCAGGAGGATCTTGAGTTCAAAGCCAGCCTCAGCAACTAAACAAGGCCCTAAGCAATTCAGCAAGACCCTGTCTCTAAATAAATATCAAAAAGGTCTGGGGGGTGCTGAGGTTGTGGCTCAGTGGTAGAGCACTTGCCTAGCATGTGTGAGGCACTGGGTTCGAGTCTTAGCACCACATATAAACAAACAAGTAAATAAATGTCCATCGATAACTAATAAAAAAAATTTTTTTTWAAAAATGTCTGAGGATGTGGCTCAGTGCTTAAGTGACCTGGATTCAATTTCAATTCCCATTATCAAAAAAAAAAAAAAAAAGAGAGAGAGAGAGAGACTTTTTGTATGCTGCTGCTCTGTAATTATTCTATCAGATAGCACCTTAGCCTGTATGCTTTTTGTGCTAAGTGAATGAATTAACTTTTCCAAATATAAATTAAATCAAAGCTTTAAAGCAAATAAAAGAACAGTTGTGCCAAGCACYCTCACCTGATCCTGGGCACCTCCCCATCCACTCTCCCTCCTGCCCAGTGCTTCTGCACTCAGTACCTTTCAAGAGGGAGGCCAGTGGGAGAGAGAGGGGAGAGGGGTTTAGAGGGGCTTCCAGAGTTAAAACCTTGACCAAGGGAACCTTGACCTTGAAACACTAGAACTCCTCTCCTTCAAGCCACCTAACCCTCCTCCTGAGTTTCCACCTCAAAGATCCACCCATTTGTCAAAGTCACTCTTAACGCCCCCTTTTCCAGAATGCATACATGTGTGAGTCCCTCTCCATTCTGCTCCAATCTGTCTGCACCTCCCGCCGCCCCGGTGGTCCCCTTCCCCTCTCCCCAGCTCAGTGTTACCAAGCTTCCTGGAAGGCTCCCTCCCCCAACCTCTCTAATCCTCCATTCCACCACAGAAACTGTGGGAAGCCAACCTTAAGGGTGACTGAGTTACACTCCCCAGCTGGGTGCTGAGGCACTCAGTCACAGAAATGGGTGTGTCTTGCTACAGCCCCATGGGTGAAGCTATGCTCACCTGTTCCTTTGTAATATAACCCCTTACCCTGTTTAGGATAGAATCTTCCATGGAAGTGCCTTGTATGTGTCCCTTCCTCTTACTGTGCCCTTGGGTGTGGCCTACCCAGGTGTCAGTCAACCTGCTGACAGTGGACATCATGAAGATAGACTCAGCCCCCTGAAACCTGACCCCCTGCCTCATGTGAATAGTTTCTCCTCAATAAAAGGGGTCAGCGCCGTGCTCTCGCTCTCTCTCTTTCTGTGGACCCTTAAGGTCAGAGGAGCCGTCACAGCGACCCTAAAGAAAAAGGTATTTGTGTCTCTTGTGTGGTTATTTTGTGCAGCCCAGTTAGCCCAGTTTAACTAGAGTGACCCCTGAGCTTTTTAGTCGCGAGAACAGAAACCTGGCAAGTAACCCTTCTTCACCCAATCCCATGACCTCCCTCCCTTGCTCAAACCCTCAATGGCTCCCCATTGCCAGAGTCCAAAGTCCATAAAAGGGCTTTCCAAAGACCCTCTGTGACCTGACCGTGATGTCCCTCTCCAGATTCATCTCTAGCCAGTCCCTGATTCTCTCCTCCACACCACTCTGCTTTTTCCTCACTGCTGACCCTTTGCCCACGAAGTTCTCTTTTTCTGGAATGYCCTTCCCTGCCTTGCTGCCCGATAYGCTCCTGTTCATGTTAAAATCCTCGTTCCAGGATCTCCTTCTGTCCAGATACCCCATCAACGTGCCCATGGGTGGAACCTATTTCTCCTTCAATCCTTTCTGAAATCCCCATCATTTCTGAAATGGATGAATGAATGAGTCAGTGGATCACAGTGGGCTGACATGGAACACCTGGGAGTGGACCAGAGAGTATGACTAAGTATGTGGACAAGAAACCCTGCGTGCAAATCCAGTGTAATCTTGGGCAAGTAATTTTACTCCTCTGGCCCTCAGTTTCCTCAACTGTAAAATGGAAAGTAGAATGCTGTCTGCACCATGGGATTTATGGGGGAGGCTCTAGCAACGCCTAGCTCACAACTACCATTATGGGAAAAGAAAGGTCCACCTCTCATCCTGCTCATTGTTGGGGTCTCATTCCTGGTCCCTCTTTTCCCCAAATTCTGCCGTGGCCAGCTTTGGTCATTTCACAGACTCCCTCTCAGTGTCCCCTAGACACTCAGACAGACCTTGGTTCTATCGGACCTTCTACATCCTAGGTTGCCCCATCTGCCACAAAGCCCAGAAAAAGGCTTCTTCTTACTTTTAATTCACATTTATCGTGCCTGATTGGAAACATTTGGGAATTATGAGGACTGGTAATTTTAAATATCTGCTGATATTTCCCAAGTGCCTACTATGTGCTGAGTACCCTGATTGTTAATTCATTCCCTTAATAAATATCTATGGGTCTCCATGATCCACTGTGCTCCAGCCCTTGTTCCCAGAGCTGGAGATACAACTGTGAGCAAAACAGTCTGGGTGCTGCCCTCATTGAGCACATGACTTAAGGGACAAGCAGACTCTAAACAAGTAAATAATAGTAAACAAACAAATAATAGTCAGCTGCATTAGTGCTATGAAGGAAGAGACGTTATTACAAGAGTATAAAGAGAAACTATTTTGGTGGTATAGAAGACAAAAAAAGGTTACAACTGTTTTTCCATCTCTCCATGCAAAGGATGGGCACTATGTCCACTCCCCTGAATCTGGTGTATTAATCATGCTTTTAAAAAAAATGTTCTGTGTTTTATAAAGCTTTGACATCTTTGGGGCCTTGCTGTCTGGGGAAAGGCCATCCCTCCAGGGCTAGCTAATTCCTAGAGATGGTTAACCACTTGCCTTCAGAGATGCCATTCATATATAAACCAACCAACCCAAAGCCCACATTCTCAACCACTCCCTTTATCTAGGTCCCACACACCCAATCAATATTTCCCCACCCCAGGGCCAAGTACTGGACAACTCAGGGACTGTAACCTACTGTAACCCAGAGCCCATTGAGAATCCAGCCAATCCTAATCCTGTACAGCTGCTTAACTGTTCCTTCCTACCTTCCTTCCCATGAATACACCATAAAGACTCTGACTCATGCTTCCTCCTCCCTCCTTCTGCCTCCTGACCTACTCTGGGCTTTCCCTGTATAGTCCTGTACAGTACAGCATGTCCCCAATTTCCTTTCAATACCATCAGCTCCTCTGTGTTGTTACTCAGTGACCTCTGTGAACTTAACATCCTGTGGGTACAATGAACATATCTGGCAAAACTCTGTGACTGACTGATAGAACATGGCACCAGAGAGGCTTTCTGGGCCCAGGCCACAGATACTGGCAGCTTCCCCTTTCTGTCTCTTGGAATACTCACCCTTGGAACTCAGCAGCCATGCTGCAAGGAATCCCAGGCAGGCCCTTGAAGGGGTTCATGTGGAAAGGAACCAAGGCCCTGGCCCAGTCAAGCTTTGATTTGATAGTCAAAACCTACTTGCCATTCATGTGAGAAAATCACCCTGAGATGAATCCTCTACCTCCAGATGAACCATCCATGCTGAGCCTTGCCCAAATTGTAGATTTCTAAAGATAATAAATGATGGCAGAAATTATTTGGCAGTAAGTCTGGGGGTAGTTTTTCATGCAGCAGTTGATAACAGGAATAAATAGGATGGGGTCTCTGAGGAGGCAAAGTTTCAGCAGAGATCTGAAGAATAAGAAGAGAAACTCGTGAGTGGAGAGGGAAGCCTCCTATTATGCATGGATGATTCTATGTTGAGCTTCACCTCCTCCCTCTTGAAACCCCATTAAATGATGGTAAGGAAGCTGGAAAGAACTAATGAGAGATTAACAACTTACCAAG